TGAGATCAATGAGATGAAATTATATTGACATGAGGGCTCAAGATAATGAACTTAACGACAGATTACTTGATCATAATGGAAGTTGAACTTAACTATGATTATAAGCCGGCAAGGCTACTTTGCGTGTGTTGTCACTGTGTTGTCACTATATCTACTGTCACTATATCTACAATTATTGTCACTATATCTACAACAATTGTACATATAGTGACAATAATTGTAGATATAGTGACAACAAATGTAGATATACTGACAGTAGATATAGTGACAACATAGTGACAACAATCGTAGATATAATGACAAAAACATTCCTCACTAGAACTCTATTTTTTTGTAGTGGTTGTAAGTGACATTATTTTAATGTGTTTGAATCTCTGACCTCTCCGGCTTCTCGAGGTCGGAATATCAACGTGTCACCGAGGCGGCTTCACCTACGACTGTAGTCTATCGTCGGCTTCTAAGTTGTCGTCCTGAGAGTCGAGCGTAGGAGACCGAGCTGCACTGTTTTGAGGTCGAGCATCGGCTTTTCTTGAGTCGGCTCCCCATATCTCGAGGCAATGTGTCTTGGGGTCCTGTCTAAGTTATGTTGAGATCGAATTATTTGTATATCTTCATTTTCTATTTCATTACTTCTGCATTAATCAAGCAAATACACTTCTGTTTATTTTATTATATAATTGCTACTATTAACTAGTAATAAAGTCACATTCGATGCCAAAAAAAAAAATAATAAGAAGAAGAAGAAAATCACATTAAGTGTTATTCTATTCCACAGTTTTTTTTTTCAAACTATTTATTTAAAATTATTATTTATTTTTTAACTCATTAAGCAAATATTTTTACTACATTTAGTTAATTATTTTTTATGGTATAATTAAATCCTTAAAATTTCGTACCAATTGATATAAATAATAATTTTAATATTTTTTAATTCAATTAATTGGTCATAATTAAGATTATATCAATATAATAATTAATGTGTAAGTTAAATAGTTTATATTCATATTGTTTATTTTTACTAATGATAAAAATTTATAAAATATGACTTACTCATTATTTAAACTTATGGTTATAAATATTATACACACATGCTCAATTTTATTTGTATTTATGCATATATACATGGTAGAATATTAATTTATATAAACATTGAGGAAATCATGAGCATTTATTTTAAAAAATTAATTACATCCGTGACAGGGCCTGTTTTTAATTATGACAACGGCCTGATGAACATATTTATTTGGCACTTAGTACTTTGGAAATTTTATTGAGCATATAAGATTACAACAGTTGGAGTTGGAGACATGACACAAAGCGTGAGCTGCATTTACTTCATTTTTGTATCACAATTCTTATTACAGTACAAATAGGAAACAAAGATCAAAGAGGTTACGTGAATTGAATTCAAGTACTGTATATGACCACACCACGTGTGATGTTTCAAATTTTCAATTCTTATTATCACCCAAAAAAAACAAAATAATAATAATAATAATGATAATAATAATAATAATAATAATAATAAAATCCCCTTCTCTCCCGTAATCCTCATCCGGCCTCGTCGTCACCGACTTGTGCCTCTCTCAGCGGTCGACCGGCTTGCTGGTGGACAACTCTTAGTCGCACGTCCACGAATCTGTTCGCAGTGCTCTTCCCTTTTGTTTCTGGCCGAGGGATGCGGACGGAGGTCTTCGACAGATTTCTCCGATCTGTGGTTGAAGTCCGTCGGTGTTCCTGCGTAGTGAGGCTGGGTGGAGTGTGGCGCCGGTGGCTGGACGCGGCTCAGGTTACTTGGGTCGCCCTAGTTCGGGTGACTCTTCTCGTAGGCCTTTGCAGATGGCCTCGTTTTCGGATCTGTTGTTCTTGACGGTGTCGTTTTCGGATATTTGATCGCCGGCACTTTGGAGCGACAGTGGATGGGCTGGGGTTCGTTTTCGGGGCTGGGACGGGAGCTGGGGTTCGCACTGACTGTGGCGGAGTGATCGGGGCTTTGATGTCGTTCGTGTTCCCTTCTCCCATGTTCTCTGGTGTTGAGTCCGGGGGAGGACCAGCGGTGCCGGAATTGGCTAGTGGTGTTAGCCTGTTTCGGGACGATGGTGAGTTTGGGTCGATTTTGGCATTTTTCAGATGGAGAGCGAGTCGGTTCTTGGATTGACTCGGGGCGTGAGCGTCGTCTTTGCTAGGAGTTCGACAGTGGCGTGCGTGATTCTTGTGCTTCGGATCTCTTCTAGGAGTCGTCTATTTTCCTCTCGTTCAGTTTGGGCGTTCTGCTCAGGGAGAGCTTGATCATTTAAATGTTGTTTTCATGTTTCTTTTTAGGTGTGTTTCGTCTATTTCGTCCCGTGTTTTTTGTTTGAGCCATTAACCTCTGTATATGCCCGAGTGAGAGTGGCATTATCCCTTTGGAATCTTTGTCTATTCTCTTTTTGGGAGCTTTGTCGTTTTGTTGTTTTAGTGTATGTCGTGTTTGTAGTTTCGAGTTTGAGTTTTGGTTTCTAGTGTTGCTAATGACGATTCTAGGTGGACTTCAGTTCTAGTTTCTCAGTTTATTCAGTTGTTGATTATGTTATCCAGCTAGGAGTTGTACATTTACACTTTTGTGCGGTTTTATCTATAATAGTCAAATAATAATAATAATAATAATAATAATAATAATAATAATAATAATAAATTATGCATTTCTGGCGTCCAGACTTCAGTCTGCAGGGTTACAGGATAAGCTTCTTCTTCCTTCTGGGATCGCTGATGCGGGCATTA